GTGTAATTTTATTTCTTGACACATTCAGTTGTGAGTTGTAATGAAATATTTCTACATTAATAAATAAAAATGGACATCTACGAACCGAAATATTTTATTTATTTATTTGTGCATGCAGTCACCAAAGGATCAAAATGCCTGGGTCAGTACCCTGAAAATGCTATATAATATAAAAAGGTACATTTTTGTACCTTCGGTGGGGGTACAAAATTGTCCCTTAAAGGGTACAAATGTAGAAGGTACAATTTTGTACCTTTAAATAGAGGTACAAATTTGTACCCTTAAGGGTACCACCCCAGTGACGGGCCATTTGTACCCTAAAAGGTACAATTTTGTACCTTTTTTTCTGAGAGTGTATATATTGAAGATATCATTTAAGTTCATATTAATTATTAATATTACTTAAAATACAGATCTGAGCAAACTATTTCTTAACTATTGAAGGCATCTCCCCATACATCTTGGTTTAATGTCCTTCAAGGGGAGGGATCGAGTGTTAATCAGGGGGGTCAGATCCCCTGTAATTCTTACCATTCTTACTCCATATAAAATCAGGTGACTAAGCTTTTTTTTTTTTTTTTGCACAGGCCTATTTAAAGGGTTAATGGTCCCAAGTGATAATCAATAGTGAAAATTTGACCTCGTCCCAACAGGGAAAACCAACTCCAATCCAAAATGCACATTAGATGCTGTCATGGTTTTGTAATAAAAAAGTGGTTATAATGGAAGTCAATGGGGCAATAACAGCCACCAACAGTAAATTAGAGAGAAACAAATTTAATCTACCAATGCATCAAAGCCAATGTTTTTACTTGTTCACACATCCAAGACTGTGATAAAAGATTTTTAAAAATGCAGTCTACAGTGACTCTTTTATTGAAAATACACAATTTTGTGTGTTTTTCACCAAATCAGTGACATCATTTATGAATTTGGCTATTAAAAAGTTAAAATCCTCTAATTTTTAAAAGCATTTAGTAGTTTAAATGAGGACTGAGGTTGATTAACAGATTTATGCAATCTGATGTATTTTTACAGCAGGTACATTTAGTGGATGTTTTCATCTTGAACATAACAAAAGTGTACATTTGAACAGTGCACGAGGGTTAAAAAGATACTCCAGTAATGCACATTGTAAAATTGGCTACTTTCCAAAATAGTCCCACTATCCAAAAATCCAAAGAAAATATATTGGCTATATGACTATTTAGTAGAATGTTGTTAATAATATTTCATTGTTTCTCTCTCATATTTGATTAGCAGGTATTCTCATGCAAATTGAAACGCAGAGCACACACTTTCCAAGCACAAGTATGCTCAGACTACGTATTATAGCATCTGAAAATCAACATTTAACCACAAGTACACACACACACACACACACACACACACACACACACACACACACACACACACACACACACACACACACAATCTTATATCATTAAAAGGTGAAGTATGAATTTCCCCTGAACAGATGTAACTTTTGTATGTGACTGACATAATCTAAAAGTCTATTAGCATTTAATGTATTTTTCACATAAATATTAATATGTTTGGTAATAAAATATTAAATCTCATTGTCATGGATTCAAAACCAAAACTCAACTCTGTATTGATATGACAGAATCCCACAATTGCTGCAGGTTTGTCACATCCATGAAGCAAATCTGTTCCAGCACATTCCAAAGCTGCTGTAGTCTAGTGAACTGAGATTCTGGTGACTGTGGAGGCCATTTGAATACAAATCCCTTATTGGCATATTCAAGTAAAAGGTTTGAGATGACTTAAGCTTTGTGACAAGGTGTGTTATTATCTTGCTGGAAAAGCCATTATAAGATGGACACTGTGATCAATAAGAGATGGACACGGTCAGCAACAACGGCCAGAACTAGATTGGCATTTAAAGACCTCAATTGTTACCAAGGAGCCAAAGTGAGCCAAAAAAGCCATTACACCATGATACTTATGCCAAAATGTACCCAATAAAGTGTCTGGGCAGTGTAGTATAGTGTAAAGTGCATGTTCAAGTTGGATACATTTAAATGGAAAATTAATCTTGTCGTTACATCCTTGAATTTTAGAGCTCGGTGTATATGAATATGGTTTACTGTATATATGAATACTGTTAATCTAAAACAATTCTCTTTTTCAAAGTACATTTTAATAAATACAACATCAAGAAACCTCAAAATTAGGGGAATAAAAATAAAACCGAGCTCGTTTTCCTCTAATAAATCTCAACCTTGCTGCATTCACTTAGGTAATTAAGAAAAAGAGAGCTAGTTGGGCGTGACACGAGCACTTCTCAAAGATATCTCTTTTAATTGGATGTGCCACTGCTAATGATCATCCTAATCGCATCAACGCTGACTCTTTGTTCCAGCCGCACTTGCAGTAGAGCTAAATCTTTCTATTCTTTAGAAACTGGCACTGAGAAATGCCAATGTTTCTCCTTTCTCTGTCAGCAGGGGCTGTGTTGGTTGGTAAGTAGATTTATTATGGTGAAATTGATCATGATGGGCAGAACAGATGTGGGATCAAGCACAGATGGTCACATTCTTAAATCGGAGCCAAAATATTAGGGAAAATGCTATAAACAGCTGTAGGTCTGTGTATGATCTGTCAGAAAGTATTGTGAGCTAAATTAAAAATATTTACCTCAAAATGATGCCAAGTGGATTTAGTGATGATAAAAAGCAAGTAACTTGGCTCCCTCTAGTGGCGCTCATAAACACATGCATCAGGGAATGCACGATTCGACCCAATCCTGTTTCTGCTTATAACTGTCAGCAGGCCCGTCTTTTCACATCATGAAAACCAGAGGCATATGAGACCTCAGCACAGTCTGGCTCATCATCCTAAATTCATAAAGGAAACTGAAGGCAAAGTTAGAGGTGTGTCCAGGGGCGTGGTCGACATTTTAAAAGTGGTTTACACTTCGTGTTGGATTTTCTTTTTAATACACGCGATTATGCCGTCAAACTGTTGTGTAAAAGCAATATCACACTATAGCAGTGTGATGTGGCTGTATATTGTCACTGCTGGGATATATATATATATATATATATATATATATATATATATATATATATATATATATATATATATATATATATATATATATATATATATATATATATATATATATATATATATATATATATATATATATATATATATATATACACAGGGGCGTAGCACCAAATTCTTGGCCCTGTACCCTCTCAATGTCAGTGGGCCCCCTACACATTTTTTTAAAATTATTTGAATATAAACATATATTGAATATAAACAAATAGTGTTTTAATCTATAATCAAATCAGATTATAATAATGACTGGTTCTTTCATTCACCACCATTGAGTGCTGCTTCTGCTGGTGTGTCAGAACCACTGATTGCTTCTGAAACTGGTTAATGTTGGCACCCTGATGTTAGCTGGCCTGGCCCATAATTTACTTACAGCAACAAGCTGCCTAGTTGACAAACTAAGCTAAAGTTTTAACATTAGCATACATACATTACAGGGCTTGAAATTAACTTTTTACTTGGTAGCACTGGTGCTCCCAACTTCAAAAAGTTAGGAGCATCCCAAAAAATTTAGGAGCACCCATTTTCTTTTTAGTTATGCGCCGATCATGATTCTTAATGGCCGATTTTGATTGGCACACGTACATCTCGGAGATGTCTATTTGACGTCTGCATTAGTGCATTCACATCTGCAAGACATCTACAAGACGTTTCCTATCAGATGTGAAATAGACTACTATTAGACATCTTTAAGATGTTTGCGATTCAGAATGTGTGTAAAACTGACATCACACAGACGTCTGCCAGACGTTTGTATACAGCAGGTGCTTTCCAGATCAAGAGATCTTTAACAGACATCTTGCAGACGTATACAGACAAATATCTAATACAATAGCATTTCAAACTTTATACCATTAAAAAGGGATAAATGAATTATATAATTTCTTATATTAGTATTACTTAATTGTTTAGATTTTTAAAAGGCACATTAACTTCTTTCACATTTACACATAGATCGATAATTGCAATAATTTGACCATAAACAGCTGAAAAAAATTATTGGAAATAAAAATTCATTCTCTGTCACAAGGGGGCGCTTTAGAAGCGCTGAAATATTACGGTTTCCCTAGTAATGACTGTACACAAATCAGCATTATACTGTATGCGACCCAAATGGTCGCAATTTCGAGCCCTGCATTAGCAGCAGCTGTCTGGAGTTGACTATGTTAACTTCAATTAGATGTAATTTCATAACAAGAAAACTCAGTTCACCTTTTGAAAAGCAGTCATCAGCTGCTTCCCCTCATTCTGCCTCCTTTCTTTTTCCTTCTTGTCTTTCTTTTTTGAAAGCCCGATTTGGGCTTTTTGCGCAGCATTATCAGGCTCTAGACTCACTGCGTTACCTGTTTGCCGCCCATAGACGGCTGCCGTCTATGGGCGGACTAAACCATTTCGGTTGTTATCAATATATTTTGAATAATTGAAAAAAAATAATTGAATAAAAAATTGGTGGAATTTCAAAGGGCCCTCTCCCTAGACGGGGCCCTGGGTAGTCAGGTCCACTTTTCCCCCCACTATATATATATATAAACACACACACACACACACACACACACACACACACACACACACACACACACACACACACATATATATATAAATATATATATAAATAAACAAAATGTATATAATTTTAAAATTATTTTGAAGTTCTTACAAGGACGAGGTGAATCACTGTCAAATACTTTAATCGAGTACAACTAAGCCATATCCGCGCGAGTGTGCGCGCGTTCACACTCACACACACACACACACACGCACGCACGCACGCACGCACATGCGCGCGCGCACAAACACACACACACACACACGCACGCACGCGCACGCACGCTTGCACGCACGCGCACACACGATTATCTATCTATCCATCCATCCATCCATCCTGCTAACAGTGTACAGGACACAGGAAATAGGCAAAAGAGAAATATTTATTTGATGATAGACCTCAGTTTCCAAATAACTGACCGCTCAAAAATGTACACAGCTTCCTGTTTTTTTTCTCTTTTTTCCTTTTTTCAGGATCCACAGACAGCAGTTGTAATATCTATGACCACATGCAATGGGTTTTGTCCACTACACAAACAGGTACTTAAGCCCCTAAACCAGCAGCACCTTGACCTGAGCCGCACTCCTCCATCACAGCAGACAGCTGTACTCAAGCTAAAACCACATCCCATGCTTTATTAGAGTCCAGCACTCTCCCACGTTCAATTTATGGGTTCAATTTCTGATGGCAACAGCTAAAGGTTTTTCTCAGAGGACTGTATGAGGGACACACATCCATGCACTTATGAAGTTTACAGGTAATGTTCAATATGGGACTGAAGGACCGTTGCTCATAGTGTGAAGGATTTTATACTTCTTCCAGAGGTAAAAACAAGGACGGTTCTTCTTATTATTAAATAATATGAAAATTTAATGTCCAGGTCTGCAGTGTGGTGTCCCATGTTAAAAGGTCTCTGGACAGATAAAGTGCACTTGATGGCTGAGGTTCTTCAGCAGTGGGTTTCCTCATCCAGAACGACAGCAAAACAACTCAATGTCTGCAATATGTAGCACTGTAGCACCAAGTGTCCACCAGTAAGGCAAGATACTGTAATGTGGCAGGCTGCAGATGAGAAACACGCAATGGCAATATGTATGTGCTTGTAAAAGACGACAAAAAAGTCACAAAAACCTCTGGGTATTCATGAAGATCAGTGCAGCATTTCACTTTCCCTTTCAGTCCAAATTGGGACCACTGAGGACGTGGATAGAAAAGCTAATCACAGCATTCAAGGAGACTATTCCTGATACTCCATTGCACGTTAGCGTCCTCTCAGATTAAGAGGAAGACATAATGGTGGATGTATCCTTCATTGTCCAAGACATAACACTCTCGGTCAGCTGCTCCTTTTGTTCCAGTGAGATGAGGAGCAGATCTGGTCACTGCTCATTTCAGTCAAAGAAATGTTCACTCTGATGTTGTGTGGTCTTCTGCTTGAATGAGTTGATTGAAAGTGTACAGCCACAGAACAGAGATGCTAATGCTGCAGCCTCATAAAGCAGACGCTGTTGGGAGTGAGAAACATGTAAAAAAAGGCACCGTGTTTCTGGACAGGGCGGATGTACGAGTGTATATGTGCAAGATGAGTCTAAATCCATCTCTTTTTACCTCCATCTCTAAAGGCATTACCATTTACTAAGGCAAAATCTCTCTGTAAAGAAATGCAAAGTGCATCTTTTCTGCTCTCATATATTCTTTGCACAGCTGCCACTGGACCAATGTCCAACGCTGCATTATAATCATAGATATATCTCTTTAATAAATTATATTTATATTTTTATATATATATTTATTCATCCCACCCCGATTATACCACTGTGGCCAGCAGCGCACATCACAGGTACTACTGTACAAACTTAAAGCCATGCTTGTCCTTTGGCTACTTCAAGGCAAAGTTCTGCTTGGTTCACAGATTCCTCGGACGATGCTGAGAACGAACAGACTCTGAGCAGGTTTCTTCACAGAGATCACACAGACATTCCGAGAAAGGGAGTGGGGGGGCATATCCGTACATGACGAAATGAGACAGAGGTACAAAAAAAATCATTGTAAAATATGATTCCAGCGAAAAGTCTTCCATGAGGTGATGCCATGGGAAGCAAAGAGTCCTCTCAGACGGCTGCGGATCAGAACGCAATCTGATTGGATGATCTGTGAGCCCAGAGTGTCACTGCACACCCTCCTCATCAACATACGTGGAGGGAAACCATCCAATCTGAATGGAAACATGGACACAATGTGAGAATACACAACTTGAGACTGGCACACTCAGTAATTGTTACCTTTTAATTAAAGGAATGCATTAATCAGGGTTTCAAGTCAAATTGAAGACATTTTAAGACCATTATGAATGACATTTTAGATTTATTTGGGCCAGTTAGTTCTGTAAATAGTTTTTGTATTAATGGAAGATCATCTGAAGAGATTTGTTGCTTTAGTTTGATTTCCCTGATTAGAGAGTTTAATTTGCAGAATTTTGGGTGAAGATGGCTAACAGCTGTTGTGAATAGTATCTCTTTGAAATAAACTTAAATATATAAAAAAGTTTTGGTGATTGGGGGCCGGCTCGATTGGGTAGCTTTACCTGGACATGGGAAAATTGAGACCAGTTTAAAATGATTTAAGACCTACGTCACAATATGTCAATGAATTTAAGATTTTGTTTAATGAAAAATTTCTGAAATGAAATGAAAAGTTTTTGCAGATACCCTGATTTATGTGCATCAGTTTGATCAAATGTAACGTTACTGACAGGATTGGCCAACAGTACATTTAAACAAGCTTTCACAAATGATAAATATGAGATTCATCTTTCTCATCAACACTTCCGATTCTATTTTATATTCCTAGAAAATAAAAATTGCATACCAAATAGGGGTGTAACGGATCACAGTTGATTTGCTATTCATTTGAATCACAACCCACAGTTTGGAAAACACGTGACCCACGTATTAATAAACTATTTTTTACTGGTAGATTAATCCTAAATTTGTAACGATCGCAGAGAGATCGCCTCTCACTTCATTCAAATCACATGTAGGAAAGCATTTAGGCTTTCCTGTGAAATATAATGATGACGAAAGAAGTAATGGTGAGTAATTAGGCATGAGGTAGTTTTCTTAGGTTATTAAAGGTGTTTTCTGTCACTACTTGTTTAGCCTGCATCAATGCATTCAGTGTAAGCTGCATGATTAATCATTAAAAGATCGAGATCTCAACATCCACACAACATAAACTATAAATGATGGTGATTTGCATATGTTGAGATTCAGTCTTTATTCTTTAGAGTTAATTATGAAGTTACAAATGGCCCGTTTCCACTGAGAGGTACAGTACGGTAGAATACGGTTTGGAACAATCAAATAACACAGAAGTACTGGGGTAACAGTTTATAGTTTACATATAACCACAGACATTTATGGTTCAGATTAAAATCACTATTATGTGCATTTAACAATGCTCAAAAATGAAGGTTGTAGGCAGAATTGACATTATTTAACTAGTAGGTGATCAGTCAGGCTGCCATCAAATATATGCCACTGAATAGCTCTTCAAAAATGACAGATCTAGCAATGAAACATGACGTTTTATGAGTCAATAACTGACTCATTTATTGAAAATGAGACTAAATATACATTTCATACTGCATATACTGTATACATTTAGCATCATCAGCAACAGTAGTAGTAATGATAGTACTGAATAATTTACAAATTTTGTTCAGCTGATTATTTCTTCATTTTATTTTTAATGAAATTACAGGTTCTAGGTTCTGTTTGATAAAATCAAAAGTGTCTTCCAGCACTGTTTTTGTAATAAATAAAAAAAGCTAATTACATTTGTCGTCTCCTGTTTTTTTACTTATATAAAAAATGGTCCGATACAAGACAAAAAATAAAATAAAACCTACAATGTGATCTGAACTGTGAGATTTGTGATCCATTACACCACTAGTCCCAACACTATGCATTCTCCATTACTTTATTACTGCATCACCGTCTTACACTACAGTAACAATCCCTTTTCTCTATTTTATCCTTTAAAAACGGTTTGCACGCTAGATTAGACTAACCAGGAATTGTGATATTTTTGTTCTCATGTTGCGTTGATTGCTTTCCTCCATTGTCTATTGCTAGATCACTTTGTATGAGAGCGTCTGCACTGCAGTTCCAAATAATTACATTTAAATGCAAATCATTGGCTTGCTTCATTTACCCTGCCGTTGGCTTCTCCTTTCCACCAGCCTTGGTCTCCCCCAATCTTGCTGTAGATCTTGACGATGTCTCCTTCTCGCAGTGACAGCTCTCGCATGTCTCGGGCAGCAAAGTTGTATCGCGCCACAGCTGTGCTGACTACCCTGGGTGTGAATACTGTACAAGCCAACCAAAAGCCCCAGATTAGCGCATTAAACACGGAGGAGCATCATTAGCAGATGAGTGGACACATTATGACACTGTGAGTGAGATGAACTGTAATGACTGAAAGCTTGTGAAAACTGCTCTACTAATAGGCCATTTACACTGGAATTGTATGAATATCTGAAGCTGTAATGGATGGATGCTGGAAACTCAAGCGAGATGGTTGAGAATGGGAGGACATGAAGGGGAATTCGGAAACATGAACGATGTAAGAAGCGCAGTACCTGACCAGAAGGGAGCAGAGCTTTGAGAGGAGAAATTGAGGCCCTGAGGACTAAGGAAGGAGAAGTTGTAGGAAGCACAGGTGGCTGCTGAGACAGGAGAGAGAGAGAGAGAGAGAGAAAGAGAGAGAAAGTGAGAGAGAGAGCACAAAAAATAAATAAAAGAGCAGTGCACAACAGTGTAATGTTTTTCTTCATGTTTTCTTTATCAAATTTAAGACAAGGCAAAAGTGTGTGTGTATAAGGTGTGCATTGATGGATTTGCTCTTCAGTGTTTGGACTTTCAGCAGTGAAATTTAAACCACACTGGACTGAACTAAACTGAATGCAGCACCCAGAAATGCTTTTACAAATCGTCTCCTCCAATATTTTACATTCAAATAAAACTACTATAATGCTACTATACAGATGCTTGCACCGTGCGCCCCTCCTCAGAGTTCTTCTGATACTGTAGGGCCACTGCCAGGCATGGGACGATAACCGATTTCAAAGTTTATCGGGGTTTGGAAAAGTCAAGGTTTAAAACCACCAGAATTTTCTGTTATACTGGTCTTACGTATGTATATGTACAGTTTTTTTTTGGTGTGGGACTATTTTATTTAGTTTTTAGAGCAACAGTACCTCCAGCAGAAAAGGAGCCTCCACATCAAAAGCCACTGCTCCAAAATATTTGAAATGTTTATTAAAATAAAACATATTGTGTTAAATGTGGGAAAAGTTGTTGTTTTTTACCCAGACATTTAAAAGAACTTAATTTAGAGCAGTAACCACAATACTGTGACACCGTGATAATTTTATGCAAGTTATCATAGATCACAGGTCATTATAGGTCACAATCTTTGCTTTAAAATTGAGCGACTCTGCATGTAAAAGCTAAAATTACCTGCAATAGGTGAGAAATACAAGCAAAAAGGTAATATAATTATATCAAATGCATTTAAATTTATTTATCATGATGTCCATATATATACTAAGCAGCACAAAAGTTTTAAAAAGTAGAAATGTAATGTTACGTGTATTTATATAGCGCTTTTATTGTGTATGGCCATACAAATCAAGGTGGGGTTCTCCCCATTCCGCCACCAGTGTGCAGCATTTACTAGGATGATGCGACGGCAGCCACAGGACAACGGTAAAAGTGCCCTCACCACACACCAGCTATTGGTGGAGTAGAGGGACAGTGATAGAGCCAATTGAGTGGATGGAGATGATTGAAAGGCCATGATGGAGAAGGGCCAATTGAAGGAATTTGGCCAGGACACCGGCATTACACACCTACTCTTTACGAAAAGTGCCATGAGATTTTTAATGACCACAGAGAGTCAGGACCTCAGTTTAACATCTCATCCAAAAAACAGCCCTCACTGACAGTAGTGTGCTCACTTATATTTAATAATTAAATATATTTAAAAGACTAACAGATAAATAATGTTACAAAGCATTTATATTTAAAATTATTGTTGTTCTTTTGAAGTATTTGTTCATCAAAAAACATTTAAAAAACATTAATTTTTTAATGTTTTGAACACCAAATTATCTTGAAATGATTTATGTAGGATTGTGGGACACATTAAAAAGGAAAAACTAAACACATTTAGCATTGTAATACCATTTTAAACTAATATATATATATATATTACTCAATATTTTACTAAATAAATTAGCAAAAGTGAGATAAATATTTGAGAGAGAAAACATCTAAAAAGACCCAAGCTTTTTATGTTTGTACATAATCCTATATTCGCATTACTTTTATACAGTGAACGTCCTGTGTCTTTTCTGTTTCATGGAAGAAGATAGGTTATACTGAGAGTGAATGACAAGATTTTCATCTTTGATGAATGACTACTTTAAGTGGCTCTTGGATTAGATAGAGGATCTTTAAACCTTTCAAACTCAGAGCTATACTGTCTTTATGCACTTGCTTAAAAATACCAGTGAGCACCAGTTAAGCTTGACTCGAAGAGGAACAAAGGCCCATCATTTATAATACATCTAATGAAGCATCTGTTTATTGGAACCCATTCAGCTGGCCAAGCAAAACTTGGCCCCAGAAGCCAAAAGCCTCAGTCAGGCCACAGCCTTAGCCAGAGTGGGCGGACCTGTGACTACCAAACCTAAGATGACTGACAGCTGAAATACCAGTGGGCGGAGCCTTCTGAATGTGAGGGCGGGACCAGCTGGTAGGGTTTATTTGTTCAGACCTCGAGAGCGTGTCCAAAAGAGCTGCTGGCCAGAATGGTGGAGGCTCAATAACACATGTGTGCCAGAGAAAGCAAGAAAGCAAAAGGGCGAAAATAGAAAAGACAGAGAGAGAGAGAAAGAGAAATAGAGAGCAAGAAAAACGTGACAGATAAAAAAACGAGGAGGATTATGGCAGGGAGTGTTTACCTGGTGAGCGGGTATTGGTGCGAGAGCTTGAGCGTTCCCGGGATTTGTAAGGGTACCGTAATGTTGTGTCCAACAGCTTAAAACTCTCCTTCAGTGAATGACTCTGATAATACTCCACAAGCTCCTGTTACACGTATCAAAAGTTTCAGTTTCATGTTCCAGCTGTTATTACCTTTATCAATGTACTGCAGAAACTAAAACTCCATTTTCGGTAGAAATATCTGTCCTAGCCAGGAAAATAGTTACAGTTTTAGGTAGGCTTGGATTAGGCTTTAGTTCTGTGCAAATGAAATGCAAATTAAGAGCCGCATTAGCATCACTCATCTCGTTTTCTGGCAGATGTGCAGCATATGGCTTTAAAGATGAACAATTGGATAAAAAAGCAGACAAACAGCATAATTTAGAATGCAAATTTTACAATAACATGGAAAAGAATTTGACTTATAGTCTACTGAATTACCATTCAAAGTAAGGTATATGTAGGTGTTCATGTTTTTGAAACAATTTTCTTTAGTTATTTCAGTGATGGTAAAACTTAATGTTCAACAGCCATTCAGAACATCACGATTATTCAGTAACATTTCTTATTACTCAATTTTTAAACAGGGTTTCTGCAGGTTTCATTAATACAAATGTAAGTTATACAGAGCTAAACAGTTTTACAGAGCTTATACAGTTACTTACACAGAGCTAAACACTAAGGATTTGTTGTAATAGACCGGTTGGGCCAGAGGAATTGGGGGAAAAAATCTAATTAACCACATACTTTAATGTGTCTAGTTAGTATAGTTGTATTCACTTTTTTCCAACATTTCTTTTTTAATGACAAGTTTAGCAATGTTAAAAGTATAATTATTATGAATAAAATTACAAAAATATGTATTTGTTTTCTTTTTTGTCCAAATTAATTAATTATAACTCCTATTCAACCAAATGCGTGTCTGTTACAAAACCTTATGCTTCATGCCTATTTATAAATATTATGTCCACTCACCCTTACTTCTGTGAATAGGTTTTGTGTAAATGGAAGATCATGTAAAGGAATGTATTGCTGTTATTATCATGAGGAATTGTGTAATTCTTGGTTAGGGAATTTAATTAAGAGAATTTGCTGTAAAAATGTTTAACAGCTGTTGTGAATCACTTTGCAATAAAAAACTAAAGTATTGATATAAAAAAACTTGTTATTTTTGGTGATTGGAGACTTTTAAAATTAACCAGTTTAAAATGATTTAAGACATAAACTCAATGTGAATTTAAGACTTTAAGGCCAAACATTTTATTATTGAATATTTAAGACTTTTTAAGACCCCGCGGACACCCTGTTTAAAAGAGTTACGCTTGATATTGATATCTGTTTTGCTTTTTTTAAAATGGTGATAGTTTAAAATAAAATCTTATGTTAATAGAAACATTAACATTTATTAGAAATAGAAATTCTAAGATTACTTGCCTTTTTGGTCACTTTTTGTACATTAAACAAAATATTTTGGCAATAAATTAGTATGTTAAGCAATTGATCCAAGTGAATTAATTGCAAGTTGTTTTTTTGAGTGCAGTCTTCACTGTGCAACTTAATAAAACTCCTTAATGATATTAATGATATTGACTGTGAGAGGCTTCTCTTACCAAGAGGCTTTCAAACTTCTTGGCCTCTGTGATGTGAATCCAGTTGTCTTTCTCAATAACTTTAATGTGCTTCACTTCATCATTAAACCTGTTAAAAGAAGAGAAATGTTTCTGCCACTCATTAAATCATTAAACTTTTCCTAGGAATACTGCAATGGATCCTTTGTTTCGTAGATAGGCAAAATGCAAAATGCTTGAATGTTGTATTTACACTTACTTAATGCTGATTGCAAATCTCTCCGCCTCTGCCGTTCTCTCTCGGATAAGATAGGTGCCGCTGCTGTGAGACTTGAGCAGGTTGTCGGCCTGCTGCCGCTCCATGTTTCCTGCAAACCTGAAGCCCACAGGGAAAACACACCTCATACACGAGTCTGTTCTATAGACTGTACATCATTACAGGAACTCTCACAGAGGTCATTACCTCATTAAAAGACAAAGACTCAACATGCCTTGTAATTAGTTTAAAGCTAATCAATCACCATCATTGATTTGAGTTATGACACACACAATTCAGTGCAAATATTACTAAAGACAAACACATCAGCATAGCTGCACTCATCAATTTATAATCGCAATTATATTATTAATGTAATGCACAAGACTATGTAATGTTTAAATGAAATAAATTATGCAGTAGCTTGGAATTGTCAATAGAAAAATCCTTGTGTTCTCAAACAGGATGAAATACCATGGATAAACGTAGTAATCCGTCTCCCTGGAGGACTGACGGTTGGAAAATGCCTGGAAAGGCTATTAAAAAAAAACAATGAAAACAGTTATTAAAGACCATAAGACCAATATTAGTGAAGTGCACTGTATAAAACTTTAGTGTACATATATTTAAAAGAGAGATAAATATTTTATTTCAAAATAATTAGAAAAGTTTTAAACCTGTACCTTAGGGTCTAGACATGGTTTCACACTGGAACTGGGAAAGTAGCCAGTCTTTTGGGTTTGAATGAGCTTACCCTGAGAGGAAAATACAACACGGTGTAAAAATGAATTCATCTACATCAAAGAAACTGAATAAGAACAGCATGCTCCTAAAATAGCTGAGTAAAAGTATAGTTAAGAACAAAGTCTGCATAAACTGCAACAGGTATGATCAAATGGGTCAAATAACCAATTACAGTTGGAGTCAGAATTATTAGCCCCCTATAAATTATTATTTTTATTTTCAAATGTTTCCGAATTGATGTTTAACAGAGCAAGGACATTTTCACAGTATGTCTGATAATATTTTTCTTCTGGAGAAAGTCTTATTTGTTTTATTTCGGCTAGAATAAAAGAAAATTTTAATTTTTTAAAAAACATTTTATTTTAATAGTCTACAGAACAAACCATCGTTATACAATAACTTGCCTAAGTATCCTAACCTGCCTAGTTACCCTGATTAACCTAGTTAAGCCTTTAAATGTCACTTTAAGCTGTATAGAAGTGTCTTGAAAAATATCTAGTAAAATAGTATTTACTGTCATCATGGAAAACATAAAATAAATCAGTTATTAGAAATGAGTTATTAAAACTATTATGGTCAGAAAACGTGTTGAAAAAATTGTCTCTCCATTAAATAGAAATTAGGGAAAAAAATAAACAGGGGGGCTAATAATTCTCATTTCAACTGTGTGTACTACAAGTATTCAGCACATGGAAAGTGTCAAACTCAGACCAAAGAAATCACTGTAAAAATGTAAGTAATTTGATGTTCTAATATTGTACCTCCCACCATGATGTGTCTGGATCTCCCTTCAACAGTTCAATGACTTCTCCTGTCTGGAAGCAGAGTGGTATCTTGCCAGGCGGGGCCGGAGTACCATGGTAATTTCGGATGGCCACCATTTTTGGACCTTAAAAACACATTGAATCAAATGTGTGATGAAAAAGCATATGCAATCTTAAAATTCTTATTCCTATAACTAAAACCATTCTCTGAGTTTACTGCATGCATGCACTATACACTAGATGGCAGCAGAGAGCTAAAGTATAACTTCATTAGCTTTTGAGCACTCAGTGTGGTCCATCTCATTTTATGATCTAAATTTTTCATATTGACATAACCTCATTAGTATCACAGAAGAAAGTTACAAAACCACATTTTACTTGTCTTTTTACCTGATTGAGGAAGCCCCGGCTCCTGTCAAAAGCACAAGGGAAATTATGATTTAATGCGCTTCAAAGTGTATTAACGTTTTTATATAAGTATATCAGGCATATTGCAAGACATCCCTACAGTGTCTCTCCAAAATGAGGACAAAGTTTAAAATGAAATAATGTAGTAAAGTTTGGTAAAAGTCAGTAAAAGGGAATGATTAATTTATCAGACATTAAGTCTGAGAGCTGAAAGTTTATTAGTACAGGCCACTAAAAACTCACCGAATCATGGGGACCTGAAATAATAATGAAAGAGAGAGAGAGAGAGAGAGAAAGCACGGTCAGTGGACTCTTCAATTAGAGCAGATGTAATGTACATGCATTTCTTTGAGAAGCAGCTTTCTGAGAGACACTCACTTATTTTGCAGATGGTAATGATCTCCAGACACTCCTTATGTGCGCCTGTCCCACAGAGAGAACAGTAGTATCCCTGGTAGAAAATACCCCTAAAGAAGGACAGAAAAGTGTGAGAGACAGGTATGTCATGATGTGTCTTTGTGTGAATGCAGATAGAGCCTTGACACGTGAGACATGTATATCATATGATAATATGCGCTCATGTCCTGAGGTATTAGAGTTCAAAATCATTCAAAGACAACTCAATTTCGTTTCGAGTTTGAGTGATGCTCACCCATGCATAACTTAGCACAAGCTGACAAAACATTACTGAGAAGGGGCCTCATGTATCAACGCTGCGTACGCACAAAAACTTTGCGTACGCCAGGTTTCACGCTCAGAATCGCTCACGTTTGGATTTACTAACAATGAACTGAACGTGGGAATGTGCGCAACTTCACGGCAGCTTTCTGGCAGGCGTACGCACATTTTTTGTGCGTGTCTGTTTTATTTCCATTGGCGACTCCTAGAGGCAGTTGTGTTAAATTGCTCTCTACAAAGTGTCTGAGCCTTGCAATGGCGTCTTTATGAGACGGGTTCAGCAGGTATATAAGGTTTCCATACCATACAGTTGACCAGCTAAACATTAAAGCACAATTTGCAGCGGTCGCCTGTTTTCCCAATGTAATCTGAGCGATCTACCGCACGCACATTGCTATAAAGACACTATCTGAAGATGAATTTGCATGCGTGAATCAGAAACATTTCCATTCAATATTATTATATCTGTAAAATGTTACAGCACTCCGAACAGTCTCAGTGGCGCGCTCGTAAGATGCATGTGAACATGTTTTGACACGTTCGAGCATGAACTCGGCTCGAATCCAGCGTCTAATGAACTCTTTCTTCTTTTTTTCCCCGCTACATATCAGATTTTGCCTACTATTTATCACGAGAAAGACTAGTAGGAATCATTAATAAGTTTGTGCATCATATTTTATTTGCACATTTATTGAATGGAAATGTTTCTGATTCACGCTTGCAAATTCATCTTCAGATAGTGTCTTAATAGCAATGTGCGTGCAGTAGATTGCTCAGATTACATTGGGAAAACAGGCGACCGCTGCAAATTGTGCTTTAATGTTTAGCTGGTCAACTGTATGGTATGGAAATCTTACATACCTATCTGAAGATGAATTTGCATGCGTGAATCAGAAACATTTCCATTCAATAAATGTGCAAATAAAATATGATGCTTATTGATATGAACTTATTAATGATTCCTACTTGTCTTTCTCGTGATAAATAGTTGACAAAATCTGATATGTAGCGGGGGAAAAAACAAGAAAGAGTTCATCAGACGCTGGATTCGAGCCGAGTTCATGCTCGAACGTATCAATTCCTGTTCACATGGGTCTTACGAGTAGCGCCACTGAGACTGTTAACCATCCTGCAACATTTTACAGATATAAACCACAATATTTCTTTTTTCAATGCACTCAGTGCGATGTTCAGACCCAACTGTGTTAACCGCATCAGCTAAACTCTCCCGCTCTATTTATTTCTTTTATTGTTAATTCCGGAGAACAAACTTGCAAATAACACCGCTTTTCTCCGGTCTACCTCTGAAAGCACCTCCAATTCACATTCTGTTCAAAGTTTCTCTTTTTGCTTGCTTTTGCCATTGCTTTTTCGTTGGGTTTTGCCATTAGCATAGTCATTAGCATATTCATACGGGGGAGGAGGCAGGGAGGGGTTTTGTGCTCGTGCATGTTGCGCTCAGTTTCAAGTTCATTCAGATGTACAAAAGAATATGCGTGAGATTCGGCGTACGCAGTGTTTCATACATCTGAAATTTTTTCTGCGTACGCACATTTACAGCTTTGTGCGTACGCAATGTTTTAGTAAGATTTCCACGCAAGTCTTCGTACATGAGGCCCCAGGTGTTTAAACCCAAGTCAAAAAAAAAAAAAAAAATATATATATATATATATTTGCGCTCTTTGTTTATATAGTGAACTATGTGGCATTCACTATTTACTGGATACTGCGTGAGTCGTTGGAATTTTTAATCACATTTAAAGAACTGGCACGTTTTAAATAACAGGTGTCTTTGTGGAGCAATTCATTGACAAGGCTGAGAAAAGCCCACCCTTGTTACCCGTGGAACGAACAGTGAGAAGTGTTAATGTAGAAATAAATTTAGGGCCCGTGGGCCTAAGTTGGCCTTTGTATCCTTTGATTTGGCCTGCCAGAGGGAAAATGATTGGAAGGGTTGGGGAAGGCCTTTTAAAGAGATTCTCATTTCAACAAACCCTTTGTTTGTTTGTTTTATTTAACTTTTACTTATTAACTTTTTTTTATTGATAATGAAGTTATAGAAAGAGTATATGCAATTAAGTTTCTGGTGTTGTTTTGGATCATAAAATTAGTTGGAAACAGCAAATAAACATAGTGATATCAAAATTAGTAAAAACTGTAGCAATAGTGTATAAAGCAAGATTTATCCTGGACAATAATGTATGTATTATATAACACACTTATGTTGCCAAATATGAGTTATTGTGTTGAAATCTGGGGGAATACATATAAATCTAACATACGATCCTTATGTACAAAGAAAGTCATTGGACTGATAAAAAATGTGGGGTATCTGGGGCATACAAACCCTTTATTTTTAGGTTTAATGATTTGGTTAAATTTAAAACAGCAGTGTATGTTTAAAGCCAGAAATAAATTACTTCTGAAATGCACACAAAAGTTTTTTGAAGAAAGACAAGGGGGATATCATCTGTAAGAAGAACTAAATTAAGAGGTTGAAAACTCCAAAATTGTGTACGTCTGTATGTGGTGTAAAATTATGGAACAGTCTAGAACAGATTCTCAAAATGTCAGGATATCAATCAATTTAACAAGTTAAAACAAATATTTATTATTAAAGGACTATTATGATGAAGAGAGCTGACTGAAAAAGAATACAATAAGAAAGGTATGATCAAATTTCAGTTCATGGCTGTTTGCAATACTATTTATATTTGGGTGTATGTTATAAAATGTAAATGTACAAATGGAATCAAACATATAATATGCAAAGGATACCAAAAGGATAAAATATGTCTCATGCAAAGCTCATATGTCTCATGTAAAAAGAAGAGATAAGTAAAAGAAGAAATAAGTAATAGACAAATGATGGGAAAATATTAAGCTTGTGCTTCATCTCGCTCCATTTCGACCATGTTGAAATGTATTTTTTGTTAAAGAATTTTCATGTATGATATTTCTGTTCAAAATAAATAAATCAAATCAAACTGAAATTAAAGTTCAATTAAATGATTTGTTTTAAATGTACATAATGTCACTTTATGAATAGGGGATAAAGCAGAGGACATCACCGTGCAAATCAAGGCAGGTTTAGCATGACTAGTGTATTCAGCATTGAACTCCAATGTTTTAGAAATAGATTTTTTTATTGGTTTTATTGTAATAAGTTTGTTAAAATAATATACATTTTCAAAAAAATATGAAGTAAATACGGTTGAAGTAAATTTGACAATTTATTTATAAATATTATGAAATAAATTAGGAAATTACTCATGGCAACTTCCTACAGTTTGCTATATTTACTTTCGGCCCACAGCTCTCAATCAAGCTTGGATTTTGGCCCTTCATAAGAAAAGGTTTGGGCACCCCTGACATAGAATATATTGTATCACTTAGCCAACAGTAGCAAACAGACACATAAAACAAAATGATTAATATTAAAACTTGGCAACATTGTCCTGTTTCCTTTGATAGTACAGTTAATCCATTGCAATACACTGACTAAGCTACATTACCGCTGTTAGTTTAGACACTGTAGATAACATTAGTAAGATTTACTGTTTAGATGCGCTCAAAGCATAGCATGCAGAGAACATCAAAGCCATGTAAATGCTACAAGAATATCAAAAATGCTACAGACTTATACAGAAGCATGAATAAAATTAGTCTTCAAAAGGCGACAACCCTCAACCAAGAGTGTTGGATTCTCCTCTCATCTTTGAACAATCCCATGCACTCAAAAGTGTGTGGATTTCCTTTGGTGTCTGAGAAACGTAAAGCAGCAGTAGCAGCACATCATCTACATTCAGTTGTGTTACTTTGAACTTGCAACATGTGAGTTTAGTGAACAGACAGGTGTGAATGCAAATGGAGTGTTTGTTATAGTTGCTGAAGTTTACATCATAAAATAAACAATGTATATATTGAGGACATCTTTAAAAGAAATCAGATTGTATGACTTGATAGTATGGACACAGTTAGAGGTTTGAAAAGTAAATGGGATGTGTGTGTAGCATTTAGGTTCTACAGCAGAGATGCACAAACTAGCGTCCGCATGCCAAAGCTGGTCTGTAGTAACCTTTGTTTTGGCCCCACATCCCATTTGTGAAGAGAGGGAGAATGATGGAGATGGTTTAGAGAAATTTTATTTAACCTTTTATTTGTTTGCTGTATTGTGAAGCTACAAAAAGCTAGCTGAAATTAAATGTTTTAATATAAATGGTGTCATATAATCAGATTTAGTTCAAAATAGACATACTGTCCCCCGACGGATAGAATAACTAAAAAAATTGATTTGTTGAACAAATCAATGCAAAGACAAATGCTACTTGACTAGTGTATTCAGCATTGACCTTCACTGCGTTATATATGTAAATGTTTATGTTTTTATTTCAATTAGTTATCATTTAAAAAGTTATACTGGATTGGTTAATAGGATATAAAGTAATGTTGTCTATTTATTTTCTAATTTTATGAAATTACTCATGGCAACTTTAAAGTAAAATAGCTTGCTGTATTTTTCTTTGCCCCACAGCTCTCAATGATGTTTATTTTTTGGCCCTTCATACCAAAAAGTTTGGGCACCCCTGTTCTACAGAGCCTGCACAACAGTTAGCCACACCAACCAGACGAAAACTATAAAAACGCTCCATTGACTTTGTATTGCAGGAAAAATCAAACTACATCTAAATGCTGCTATGCAAAAAGGTGACCTGCAAATAAACGAAAAACCTTTTTCCTTATCCAGGCTTTTGTTGGAGAAATGATCCAATTGAATAGCTCGACGTGAAACACTTTAATACTTACAACTTTCTGACACTTGCAAATAATGTAACTGTGCAGCTTTCTGCTTTATCCACACTGTCCCTGCTTTATCCACAATTTGCAAGTCAAACTGATATATCTTTTTACAAAAAATATCATTTATAAAACTCACATCTGCATATTTGACTTTCCAGTGATAAAATGTTTCTCTCATACAGCCATACTGACTGTCAGGATCCCACACTTGACCCATTCTTCCAGGTGATGCTTCATGTCTATGACCTACATCTACATTTGTCACTCTTAAAAGGCTGGCTTTAAAAGGTTTTAGCTTATAAATTTTTTTTGTTTCGTTTTTTAGCTTGTTTGCTTTCGGGCATCGTTCTGCTTTTTGTAATAAATGCTAGAAATGACAGGGAGGCAGCTTACAGCAAAAGAAAGTCAATGGAGCAGGTTGGATTGTCTCTGTCCAGTGTGGAAGTGGCCTAAACACTGTCTATGATATTCTGGTTCTGGATCTGAGGTATGATTTATGCCTATAGCACTGTTACATTTAGAGATGTTTTTTTTTTTTAGTTATTGTGATTTTTATATTGTGTAAATGACTTTTTCCCTGTTATTCCTTTTTGTTCACAAAAGTTTTGTTTAAAGATAAATATTTTATTCTTGCTCTTTCTTCATATCGTGAAGTATGTGATATTCACTATCTACTGGATGCTGCATGAGTACATTTCCAATCAAATTTAAACAACTGAAATGTTTTAAATAGCAAGCATCTTTGTGGAGATATTCATTCACAAGGCTAAGAAAACCCACCCTTGTTACCCACGAAATGAATGGTAAGAAGAATTAACGTAGAGTATGTTGTATCATTGAGCCATGCTAGCAAACAGTGTCACATGAAACAAAATGAAGCAGGTTGGATTGCCTTAACACTCTCTATGATATTCTGGTTCCACCTTTAGAATTTAACAAACCAATTTGAGGTATGATTCATGCCCATAGCACTGTTACAATATGTTGACGACATATATTTTTTCAGTTATTGTGATTTTTATATCATGTGAAACAGAGGCCAGACACTTAGATGTTGAGAAAGAAGCTAGAAAGGAACCTTTCTCCAGAGCACTAACTGGGTTTCAGATGATACGAGAGCTGTTGTGATTTGTTGAGATTATTGTCTGACCTGTAGATGACTGGTATTTTAGTTCTGTTGTTGCCACGAGTATTACCACTGTTTGGTAACTTTGAACTTTGATTTCTTTCTTTGTCTTTTTTTCCAGGAAACAGTAAGGAGGTGGATGGCCTGCCCTTTTTGTTGGAATTTTTCTCCTGTTTTGAGGTCAGTCAGGGAGTCAGTTTAGTTTTGTTGTTTATTTCCATCATTGTTTTCTTGTAGTTTATTTAGAGGTTTAACCCCCAGACAGAACCCTGTTTTGCTTGTTATTTTGGCTTAATTCCCCTTCTGAAGCAAGTGCTTCCTTGAAACCACAATCTCGTGTGTAACATAAAATTTGTAAATACATCTTTGAACTTTAGAGTACTCTTTTTGTGGCGTTGTGACTGGTCCTGGTTTAGTGTTCTTTACATAAATTAAATAACTGTAATATTTCTGCGTTCAACATAGTCCCCTAGACCTGTGTTGGATGTAACAGCACAAACATCACTGAAACGTAATATTGAGAGGCTTGTGCAAATTCTACGCATGAGTCACTGTAAAATTGATGCTTGGCTTTGAAAGCAAACTTTTCATGCATTATTACAACAACAACAACAACCATCACCCCCTGTGACTCCATATGTCGGCACAACTAAGCGACACCATTCAACATCCAAACTAATCCCAGGCCAGTTTGCACACAGATTGAAATGTGGAACCATTTTAATTAGCAGCCAATGTGCACATTGACCTGTGCTGCAGAGTGGCAAATTTAGGTCAGCGCACTATGATTTCACACAAGTCGATACAGCCAATCACTGAAGCAGCTCATGTAATAGAGGTCAGATCAGTAGACCAGCAGAACTAGTAACATGGGTCGAAGCTTGTCTCAGTCAACTGCACCGCCTCTGTAATTTAGTGAGAAGTGGCAGTTGTGTACATGTATCCTCACCTCAGCAGCATTTTACAGGCTCTGCAGTTGGTGTTCTTCTCAAACGTGTGCATTTGGAAGTTGTGCTGGTTGGCAGTGGCTCGTTCGGGTTTAATGTTTGACCTGTGTGGATTAATAATCACACTTGATATGGTGATCAAAGAGCATAATAACTGTGTGTTTTTGAAACATGGGGAGGATTTAACATACATGGCCATCTCAAACTGCTCCATCCATTTGCGTTTGGTGTCTTCTGTCTTGCAGAAGAACTGGAATCCCTGTTTCCCCTGCAGATGGATCAGGTAAAAGCCGTACGACCACTATGGGTGGAGAGAAGATGGTTGATGAATTGAAATTGTGCTAATGGTCATTCACCTGTTTGCCTGTATAGTTTTTTTTTTTTTTATTTCCAATGTTCATGTTTTCGCCTGTCATGCTACAAACACAGCTTTTGTTCCTAGGAATTCACTTCATGCTTTCTTTCTGTATAGACAAGTTTCCTTATGAAACCGGATGTTCTGAAATATTGATCTTAAATATGTTCTAAAAACAAAATATTTCAGCATTTTAGAATATTGAAACATTTTATTACACATTACATTGTTTACGACGTGTTCTATGATGGCAAATCTGAATTTTCAGCTGCAGCTACTCCAATCTTCAGTGTCACATGATTCTTAAGAAATACTTCTTTTTCCATATTTGCTGATTAAACATTTATTGTTTTAGTTTCTACCCAGAATTATTTTAAATAAAAATCTCTGTGATGAAACGACTGTTTAAAAAATATATATTTGTATTTAATTTTGTCAGCACAACACTAGGCATAGATCTCATTTACCCCTTTTCCACTGACCTGATTCAGGGTGTTTTCACACTTGGTTCAATTGTCTGGACCAAACCCAGATTTGATTGTCCCCCCTTGCCACCTTTTCGGCTGGTTTCTTCTAAACGCCAGTATGCCTGCATCATTAAGCTGCTGTTTTGTGTACAGCTGTTGCTAGGTGAAGGCCACAAAAGTGGCAAAATGGAGACGTCCGCATATCACGTTCATCATGCTTTTACTAAATATTTTGCTTTGTTACCGAAAGAGCCACTAGTATCTATCTGCTGCAAAAAAATATGATAAATGTACAGAACATCATGCGATGTCTGCAGAAGTGATTTTTGGTGAAGACAAGCAGACATTATCACTGTTTGCACTGTGTCAGGCCCGCTTGTCCCAAAGGTAGGTGATATACAGACACACATATCAGAAGGGAACTAGACCAGTTCACACAAACCATACCCCAGACCACCTCTTTCAGGTGGACTCGGGTATAGATCGTGGATGCTCACCCAAGTTTGGAAGTCAGCGTTCACACTAGCTAAACGTACCATACTCTGACATCAACCGAACCTGGGTGCGGACCAAATTGCTAGTGTGAAAGCAGCCTCATATGCGGGTTCCTGTCTTTCATATGTACATTTTGTGCAAACTAAAGAAAAAACAAAAGTGCTAAAATGTCTATAGAAACAGCAGGACCTGCAATGTATCTTTTAGTCTGGTTATAGCCAGGTAAACAACACATAGCAGTGTTACAGTACATCATTTTTCATTCTCCAAGTCATTGGAAATACGTGGCCAGTTTGTAAAAGGGTCTAGTTCACCTGGCAGAGAACAGGCTGACAAAAGATTCTGCTGCCAGAACCAGAACACAAACCATTCTGGTGGAAAAGAGGTAAAAGACAAAACTTCTATAATTCATGAGATCTTTAAGACACTGAAAAATGCAGATCATGATCAATGCTGAAAATGCATCTCAATGGAGTCTGCACAACAAATATCAGATTGTTGATTTGTAAAAACTGCTGATGCTATTCTGGCAGCATAAAGCTGATTGATCCCTTGAGATGACAGGAAACCGATCGCAACGTCAAAGAAGTGAAATGCACAATCACAGCACGTCATTGCTTAAAGAACATGAGCATTCAGCTTACCATTTTTCCACTCGACTGGCAGGCATGCAAAGAGATTGAAGGCGGAGAAAGAAAAAACAGAAAGAGAGAGAGAAAGAGACACCCTGTTACACATGCATTCTCATATACATGCAAAAATTCCTGATTGTTAGATTCATGGAGAATGCATCGACCTCTCTGCATTTACATACACATGCCAGAGCACCGAAGAGGGCAGTACATCATTTCTGATTGGTTGCAATTACAAGCATCATGCTATAACACTCAAGGACAAGCGTATAATGAACGAAATCCATCTGTGCTATTCACCAAGCAAACGATCAGACCGTCCCAATTGCCTTTGCACGTTTAACACATTACGTTAAGATCAGTGCCATAATCAATTTGATAGAACTAATATAATTAGGTATATTTATTCTGAAACAAATCCAATGGCTGGCCAATCGAAGGCCTCTCACCTTTTTCATGTCACGGTTATTCATGGGGTCATCAGACATCTTGTAGAGGTGAAGTTCGATAACCTCTTTTAACTCATAGTTATAACCTTTCCTCTTGCAAACAATCACAACTTTATCAAACAGGAAGATATATCTAGGTAGAGAAAAGGAAGAAATGGATTGAAACACAAATTATTTTGTAGCAAAACAGCCCATTTGATCCTGCTGCAAACAAAAACAAATGGACAGGTGCAGTCTTACCTGTCTTGTTTGGTCCGGTTTACTATAGAGCACACTTTGAGCTCTCCGTCTATCTTTGGCCTACCGTACTCCTCTAGCTTAACCTGCTGTAAATGACACACAAAATTATAATCCATACATTTATATTAGCATAAAGGCCTCAGGAGTTTCATGCACAATGGATGACCTTCTTGCTTGCAATAGCCATATTGTGTTACCTTAAGGACATTTCTCTAATATTTATATACCAATTACAGATTTATGCCTCATGTTTTTGTTACAAAATAGTACACATGCTGCTTTATTAAGAGTCATTAAAGGCACGGCAAAGCCCACAGTGCAGGTCTTTGTCCGTAAGTGGCATGCCTCATTGGCTCATTGATGTTTAGCCGCAGGCGTCATCTGCACCACAGGCCCTCACATAAATAAACCAGAGCTGATACACTGACTCTTATATTAGCTACTGGAAGAGGATACACTGATTTCATTCCTTTTAAACACAGTCCTAAGTGTGCCTGCCTGTGCTTGTGGCCTGGAGGCTTTTTGGGATTTATTTTACTGAACAGAAGTGACAGACGGGGGGCAGGTGGAGGCTTGTAAACAACTAAATGTTTGGGGATAAAGAGGAATTGGCCAGCATGCTGATATGTGCTTGAACTCAGACATTGTAAGTCTTTCAAGTGACAGCAAAGGAGTGCAACTAGATTTGTTAAGGTAATGTGAAGTGATATAAAAATCAACAGGCCATTGAATAAGCATGACAAGTGGAAATAAATACACATGCAATATATAAAGCATTAACATATTAGGCAAAAAGAGTCATTAATACTACAGGTGATGAAGTACACTGTTATGCTGCATTTACTGCATTGATTATGATCTCCACAAACACTCACTAGATTTTCTATAGAGCTCTGAAATTCACTTATTTTCTTCAGGGTTTCATTGTCTCTCTTCACCTCATTGATATACATGGCCAGGTCCTTCAAAAGACATAGACAAAACACTCATTAAAACACCACTTGATTACTGAAATACTAAGATATATTTACACATTAAGCAATATGTTCAGCACAGTTAAATTACAAACCAAAAGCAAACAGTATATGGTAGCTGTATTAGAGTTCACACCTGCATGGCTTCTAGTGCTTCTTTAAGCTGCTGCCTCTCTGGTCGGTCCATAGAGTGACTCACTAACTCCTGCAGACAGACAACATAATGATAAGTTACATATACAAACAAAGCCTGTTTATAGTAAGAAGAGGAAAGATTTTTCAGGTGATTTCTCACTCCAAAAATTTATCTTAAGGAAACATTTTCTTCAAAACTGAAAATAAAATAAAATAAAATAAAAAAAAATAAAATTGATTGGCAATAGTTTTTGATTAACAATAGTACTTAAATATCACAAAATTATTTCTAAAATATTTCAGTTATTAAAGGTCCTAAACACCTATAAAAGAAAGAGTCAAAACCTTAACCTACAAAGACACTGACCTGGTGAACAAATATGGAAAACCACTGGATAAAAATGCTTTATATTTACATTTAATAATTTTGGCAGATATTTATATCCAAAGCAATGTATTACCAATGCTAAAGTGACTTTAAAGCCTTAATTATGTATAGGATGTCCAATCAGTAGTTTCTCTGACATTAATACTTTTAATCATCATTGATGCATTAAATTTTAATATAAATGTTTAATGACTAGTAATGACTATGAAATAAAATTATACATTTTATAATTGAAAATAAAGATCTCATATGAAACCTTACATTGAACATTCTCCTTTGCCATTAAATGAACAAATTTCCTAATTAAATTCTAATAAAATACAAACAATAAAAAAGTTGAATTCATTTTTGATGAAATAAATGCAGTCATGGTGAGCATAAGACAATTCTAAACTATATTGTAGATCTTTTTTTTTTTTTAAATAGTTTTACATAAATATTTTCTACAGTAACATACACTCACTGGCCACTTTATTAGGTACACCTTACTAGTACCGAGTTGGACTCCCTTTTGCCTCCAGAACTGCCTTTATCCTTCATGGCATAGATTCAACAAGGTATGGAAATATTCCACAGAGCTTTTGGTCCATATTGAATCTTCCGTTCCACCATTTCCCAAATGTGCTCAATTGGAATGAGATCTAGTGACTTTGGAGGCCATTTGAGTACATTGGACTCATTGTCAGATTCAAGAATCCAGTCTAAGATGATTCACTTTATGGCAGGTGGCGTTATCGAAGTAGCCATCAAAAGGTGGGTAAACTTTGATCATAAATGGAAGGACATGGTCAGCAACAATATTTAGGAAGGCTGTGGCGTTGGCACGATGCTCAATTGGTGCTATTGGGCCCAAAGTGTGCCAAGAAAATATCCCTCATTCCATTACAATCATAGTTGACAGGAGTGGATATTTTCTCTTTTTTGGACCATTCACTGTAAACCCTAGAGCTTCTTACAGCATCGAAATACAATTTTTTATAGCATCTCTATAAAATACATCATCAAATTGAGAGGTCAATGATGGAGAATTAAGCAGCTATTTTTAGCTGATTGCGATCTGAAACCAAAGCATCTATGCTCAAAAGAGGATATTCTCAAAGAAAGAAGACTTTTAGGAAACAGCACCTGTCATCTGAACCACAGCAACTCTCCCTAGGTTAGAGTGTATGAAATGGGGTGCGGATAATATGATTTAAGCATGGCTGATTTAAACAGTGTCACTGTATCCACCTCCCAAAGCTCTCTTCCCGCTCTGCTGTGTCCTGCCCGTCTGTCACACGTCACACTCTTTCTCTCTGTATCCATTATTAATGCGTGCTGTGAATTAATGATGGTTTGTATCATGCAGGGCGTCCTGTTTTATACATGATCTCTATTAGCAGTGGCTAGGCAGAGTGGAGAGCCACATGGGTCTTGTTGGATGAGGTAAAAATGATCTGAATGTTTTATAGGATTTAGGGGTTCAGAAGAGGTGCTGCTGCTCTGCTTTTAAACTTTAAATCAAAATAAATGGGAGTTGAACAGGTTCCTTATTTTTTCTTAAACCCTCTCAGTGACGGAGGAGCTGATAGGGGTGTCGATGATGATGAGCGCTTTTCACCTTTAGCAGAAGGTGGTATTTAAGGACCCTCTGCATGGGGACCACCAGGAGATCCTGCAGCTTGAACTTCCCCTCTTGAACCTTCATGGTACACTCCTGTGGAGGAATATTATGACAACAGTTCAACAGAAACTCAAAAGCACTACTGAATACCAAAATCAAAATGGCACTTTACAAAGCTGAAAATGACAGTGCTTCAGGAAATGACATTTTAAAGTGTGGGAAAAGTAAACAACATAAAAAGAATAAACAAAATAAATACAAACAACCTAACAACATACACTTATAAATATACTATTTTATCTATACATAATAATTATATATTGAATAGTAGAAAAAATATTTAGATGTGTGTGTGTGTGTGTGTGTGTGTGTGTGTGTGTGTATAAGATATAAGATGCGCAGATCAACAGATGCACAGATATATAATATATGAGATTATATATCAAACAAATTCTCCACCTGCATCTATTCATTTCTCTAATATAGATATTCACTCCTGATCATCACATTAATTATTCTAACTCATTATTTTAAGTGAGAGGTTAGTGAATTGCTTATTTTTATCAGAAGATTCAGTGGCATTGGAGCTAATCTGTGCAGTGCATCTATAATAAATATCCTAGTTGCTTTTTATTTGAATGAACATTTACTTATGAAGCAAAAGTTTGGCTTTGCCCAGATTGGCCTCCATTTTCTTATTAAAACAAACACCGGCTTTACTTCCTTCAGACTTTAATGGGAATGTCACTGTTGCTCTCATTACAACACACAAACTATATCCTATGTTTAGCCCAAGCATTGACTTGTTAATTGCTTCGCCTAAATGCTCCCACACTGTTCTCTTCTTGCCTTTCATTTTTGTTTTAATTGTCCCTTTTTTATTTTCTCTCAGATCTTTCACCTCCATTTCAGCCCAAAAACACAGTTTGAGAATCTGCATAATAGAAAATATATTTGAAAACACTCCTATATTTTAAGAAAAGTAAAAAGAAATACATGTTTTAAGTGCCAGATTATGCAAAATATACCCAACTAAAAGTAATACTTGTAATAGGTGTCAACAATCTCCAGCAAATCACACACACATGTTTTGGTCTTGTCCAAGATTGACAGTGTTTCGGTCTAAAATGTTTGATTCTTTTGAAAAAAATCTTTAACATATCAGCCACTCCAAACCCTGTAGCAGCACTATTCGGAAATCCTTCTAGATCAAATATGCTTTCAACAACACAGAATGTTGTTACTTTCACCACATTATTGGCTGGAAGGCTTATTCTCCTTAGGTGGAAACAAACATATCCAACTTCATATGACAGATGGATAATATATAAATTAGTTTTTCATTAAGAGGGTCTTTAAAATCTTTTTACAAAACATGGAAACCTTTGTTGAATTATATTTACACCATTGATCTTGAAGCAGACGATGAATAAATAATAATGAATATTTTTAATTATTTATTTATTACTGTTATTGTTAGATTTTTTGTTATTTATTTATTCATTCATAAATATATATTATATTATTTATATATTTAAATTTACCGTGTTATTTAATAACTATATTGTTTTTATGTTCATTGGTTCTTAGTTGTGAAAAAGCAGTACAGTGTGTTACTTATTTTTTGTATGAATATAATATTGTATCTGCACAAAATGTAAAATAAATATGTTTGTCAAAAAAGTTTTCAGATTACCTGGCCTGCCCAACCTGCAAATTATTTGGAGCACCTGCAAATGCAGCCGCTATCCACAGATATAAATCATCTATAATTTAATTTCATAATTAACCCCTTCATAGGAAGTTTGATTTATAGGCAATCTTACAGCCTCCACTGATTTTCGCCATTTGTCAGAAAAAAACAAATCAATCATTCATCGAAATTAGACGATTAACATTGGTGAACTTTTGTGATTTGTTATTTTTTTATTTTTTTATTTTTTGGGGAAATTTGCAAGCCAGACTGGCTGGGGAAATCATAATTCTATGGGATAATCTAACCCTAATCATAAATAAGTTACAGGAGGCTTCAATCTTCACAATCTTTACATCAAGACACATTCACATGCTGAATACGTTATTTGAATGCATACTGCAGAAATATTTAACTTCTCAGGTACAGCACAAACTACAGTGGTTATGGAGCCCAATTTAAGACTGATATCTCATAATGTGACTTCAGTTCATATCTGAACAAATATTATGAATATCAATATTATACAACCTTAATATAACTGGTATTATAAAGCCTCATTAAGTTAAATTTCTCCAAATTCTGAGAGAGAAACAGGCCACTTAATCACATAAATTATAAACTATATAACCAGAAATGTTTCTTATTTTGTTAAATAATAATGGCTGGAATCAAATATGTATTTCAGGTTACATGTACAGTATCTGTTTCCTCTGCATGATAAATTTATTGTCTTTACTTTCCGTGTTAATCCTTTTATTTGAAATCTCCCCTGTTCTCAGGTGACAAGTAAACAAGGTGGATGGACCACACAAATGTCACGCTTGACATTCAGAATATACTTCAGTAAGGGGTTTCTCATCTCTATGACTATCAGGGACTCCACGTCCCTCCTGATGAAGGATCTCTGACTAATCCACAACAAGAGCCTCTCGTCTCTTTCCAAGAGGTCTTGTAGCCACGCTCTGAATGAACTGTACCCAATTACGGACGCCTTCTTATGTGTGAGATAACAGGATGATAATAATTACGTGAATTTGTCAACAAGCACGTCCACTACTGCAGATGCTGTGATTTTATCTGTAATCTCCTTTAATCCCAACTGGAAATAAACCGGCTTCTTATGCCACTCTTTATTTTTTAAAGTCATTAAAGTAAGCCACATTTCCTCACACTGACAGGGAGAAAAAAAGCCCTATAGTCTTTTGCATTCTGAGCAGCATTAATAGAAAGCAAAATTAGTTCATGTCCCAAAACTGTCAACAGCAGTCTGCTGAGGGAATGCTGTGTTGCATTGCATCTGACCACTCAAGCGGTCTCTAGGAAAAAAAGCTGTTGAAACAGTCGCTTTGAGGCACTGTCCCTGCCTCAGCACACTCAACGGGCTGAAATAAGCTTATTACCGGGAGCATGACCTGAATAATATTTCCACCAGATTTTATCAATTTTCAAAATATAAAAAACTAATAACCTACAAAATTACATTTTGCTTTTATTTAATCATGCTCATGTTTCAAATGCACATCATTTCAACACTAAATAACTAAATATCCTGCCTGCTAATTTCCATGCAATAGTAAGAAATAGGTATTAAAGCTTTCTATCTTTAACAAAGAGGGGAAACAAAATAATCAATATCAACTGTCTCATCAACTCTTCACGCCACAAGAAATTATGTGAAAGCAACAGACTGAGTTTATGAGAGATCACAAAAGCAATAACAATGTTCACAACAGTGCTTCGAGTAGATTTTTTTTTTAAAGAAATTTGATTTAGTTCACAACACGGGTCTTATTTATTTATTTACTTTAGTTACTTTACTTACTTTACTTATTAACAAATCAGTTTCAATTCAAATTGACTTGATTCAATCCCAGCAGTTGCACAGGTGAATCCGCCAATATTCTGTTATTCTGTGCCTCCATTACGTTCTAACCTTAGCAATTAACATGAACAATGAATGAGTTTTGTGACTGGCATAACCAGTATATGGCATAACCAGTGAATTACATGAGGACTCTGAATATAGATGAGAGATGAACCTACACTGCATAGCCTGGAGACCCAGATAAGCAATTAAATAATTTTTACTGTCTCTTGTTGGTTAAACTGAAACTTTATTAATTTGCAGGACTTTTGATTGAACTAGGCATACATATGTAAAGTATAGGCACACAAACATACGTCACTGTTCGATTGAAACCTTGTTATGTCCAAACCCACTACTTTTTGAGAAATTCATTAATTCATTTTCTTGTCGGCTCAGTCCCTTAATTAATCCGGGGTTGCCACAGCGGAATAAACCGCCAACTTATCCAGCAAGTTTTTACGCAACGGATGCCCTACCAGCCGCAACCCATCTCTGGGAAACATCCACACACACACCCACACACACACCCACACACACCCCCACCCCCACCCACACACACACACACACACACACACACACACACGTTTGTTTTTGTGAAAAGTGGGGACATTACATAGGTTTCCATATATTTTATACTGTCCAAACCGTTTATTATATTGCCCCCACCCCACCCCACCCCTAAACCCAACCATCACAGGAGACTGTGTGCAGCTTTACTCTCTGATTAAACTCATTCTGTAGAATTTATAAGCATTTTGAGAAATGAGGACGTCACCAATGTCCTCATATTTCACCTCCTTTTTGTAATACCTATGTCATACCCATGTCGTTACACAGATTTGTGTCCTGATATGTCACAAAAACAAGTACACACACACACACACACACACACACACACACACACACACACACACACACACACACACACACACACACACACACACACACACACACACACACACACACACACACACACACACACACACACACACACACACACACACACACACACACACACACACACACACACACACACACACACCGGACAATTTAGCCTACCCAATTTACCTGTACCACATGGCTTTGGATTGTGGGGGAAACCGGAGCACTTTTTGAGAAATTATAAAAAATAAAAACATTTCTTAAATAATTAAGCAAAATGCCATCAAAATTTCATAATGTGGTTTTACATACTGAATGGTGATACACTAGCATGTCATATGATTACATTTTACCAAAATCAAGCTTAAATTGAGTTACAAAGTTTGTGACCAGCGAATGTAAGGAATTTTTTTGTCCATCATGAGTGTATTAGATGAAATTTTAATCAAGCTTGCAGGTTAAGTTTACTGTAACTATGTGGGTGCTCAATTTTTCCTGTTTCTAACATCATTTGGCCAAAATCACATTACAAACATTAAGCTATGTAAATGCTATTAAATCAGTATTGGATAAGACTTGACAGATGTTATAAACAAACTCTCTGCTCCTCAAATTAATAAAATATTAGCATTTAGAGAGAGTGTCTATAAAGCAATAAAACACTGCACTTAATAAACTAAATCAACTCTTTTAAATGTTGAAATATGGATGCAAAGTTTCAGGCAGTAAGCACCACTACATATAATAAAACTGTAACTGTATACATGAAAAATGTATATATTACAAAAGCATTACATTGTCCCATTCAACATTAGCTAAAGTAATCACCTACCTCCACTTTACATTTGACATCTTCTCGTGTGGCAATCAGCTCATCCAGTGTCTTCTGAGCGTTCTCCATATGGCTGCAGTATTGGCCGTAAATCAGCAGTCTACAAATTAAATAAAAAGGCGGAGAACATAAGACTGCAATCAAATTTAATACAAATTTAGTAGCAATTCCCAAAACAAGATGAATAAAAGTTTCATTATAAGGAAAACAACAGATGTTTTGCATAAAAATAAAGTCATTTAGATAGGTTTGGCACAAAATGAATGTGAGTAAATGATAACAGAATTTTCAACTTTGGGATAATATTTCTTTTTTTATGAATCTTTAAAAACAAATGATAAACATAACAGTGTTCAATAATGTTTATAACGGAGCTACATCTGTTGTGCTGTCTTCATCAAATGAATATGAGTGAAGCTTTTTGATGGATTCTGGATTGTGTACAAGTTAATTTGGGCCACTGAGCACATCAAGAAACATTTATTAAATTTCACAATGGACTCCTGATAGCGATCAGCACAGGCTGGAAACAGCTCAAAGTCATCTCGCCTAGATGATGGCACCACGTGTGGCACAGATTTCTGCCTCTGATTTAAGTAGGACACTGGCATAGTTGGCAAGCTCAAACCCTCGCATACTTTCAGCTTGCCTGCCTCTTAATTGTGGTCTTAGTTAAGCCAATTTCACTTCACAAGAAAGACTCATTGGTTAGTTATCCTTGATCAGAAGAAAGAAAGTGTCAGTTATCCCGCAGAATTCCCCCCCAAAAGAAAAATCAGATCTGAAAAGAGAAGTTGGCTGATCAAAGCAAGATACATTTTTATCTGAGATTATCCACTAATGAGGGCAAAATCTGAATGGGGTCAAATGAATTCAAGGATGATGATCAACTCAAATCCAGCTCATTAAGTATGGTCTCTGAAGTGTTACAACCTCCTTCATGGTCTGCAATCTAGGACAGGCTCCATGCATTGACACTTGAGCCACCCACTAAGATTTGCTACTGTAAAGAGCGTAAAGCTAAGTAAAAGTGTCTTAAGCTGAAAAGGGGCTCCCTTACTGCTCTGCTCAATGTCTGGGCCTCCGTGCCCTTGGGCTAAGCAGGCCTGATTAAAGGCTAATCTGGAACAAGAGAGACGGGCTTGGTTCCTTATGGAAATGGACTGATGGAGATTAATGGCGGCCTCGCTCAATTATGAGCCGAAACGCACATTCAACAGCATATTGAAAATGCGGGAGCAGGTGTCGGGAATTAACTGTAATAACAGATGTCACAGACATAATTGAACATGAAGGTCTTCTTTACAAGGCAATTTCCAGATTAAATGTTTCAGGTGCCTCGTAAAATGGACGGAGAGGGAGAGACGGCGCTCTATGTAAGACACGTGAAATAGCAGGAACAATGGAAGAAGAATCTTCAAATTAGTCAAGAACAGACAGAAATACAGCAGCTGTTAAAGTTTTAAATTGCATATATGAACATATACAAAACGTAAAAGTTATTAGGTCAAAGTAAAATTTGCTATATTTTGTTAATATGCAAAATTGTATTGCAATAACAACAATAATTTCTAAGTTCCCACAAAGCATGATTGTTTTCAACATTTTCGACATATTAATAAGAAAGGTGTCTTATTCTTGAAAGGTGTCTTTTATTCTTGTCTTGGTCTTGATCATAAAAATCAACATAAGAATCATTTCTAAAGAATAACATCTGATGTTAGCGACTGAAGGAAAATCTATCCACTTGTTAAGTCGTGACATAACGGTGACGTGTGAAATACTGTTTCCGGGTCCAAGCCGCTACTTATTTGAATTGAGAAAATATTCATTTATGGCCACTTTTAATTTCACTTGACTTTTTAGGGTCTACAATTAAGGATTTACCAAATTTATCTCTGACCATACCAAAAATAAATAAATAATAATTTCTTAGACGCAAATTTTACATAATGTGTCAAAACAAGCGAAATGTAGTGTGTGTGTGTATATATATGATAAAATATATATAATAAAAAAAAAATTATTTTTTAGATCATCACTTTTTGTCCAGTCTATTTCGAAGAGAACCGATCACACCAGTTGCATTTCCTCTAGGCAAGGATGCTTCGTGCAAGTAAACGGGAGCGTGCATGGTTTTCAAGGCTGATTTAAACAGTTGCGCGCATCAATTCACCTGCATGCGCGAGTGATCATCCTCTCATTCGCTATTCACCTGTTTTATTGTGCTTGGGCAAACACAATTATTTTGTCAGCCGTGCTGCTTCTTGATTCTAAGATTACATTTGCACACATATTGGGCCATCCTTATTGTCGAGCCCAGCTTTTAAGAAAACTACAATTAAAAATTATTTCCAACCAGTCAAAGTGGCTGATGGAAGTGTCTGTCTAGCTTGCTCGATAATTTCAAGCCCTGGGCATGGCATGGATATATATTTATTCGATCATGATTTTCGAAAGTAATACATCGCTTTGTAAATGTGTATTATTACCATTTGATGAGCCTCCCCATACAGTTTAATATGGCACTTGGACTGGAAGCTGCTTAGCGAGATGTCGCACTTAACAAACAGGTTACCTTTGCCATCTCAGAAATTATTTAAATGTTGAATGTACATTTTATTATTAAAATATATACAGTTTTTGCAATAACAATTCTTTTTCTATGGAAAATATATATATAAATGAAAATTTTACTGGCCACAAGCATTTGAATGGCAGTATACACATATCTAAATTAATAGTATGATATTTTAACCTCATGTGTTTAATAAATGTAATGTGGCTTTCAATGTTAATCGCTTTAATTGAGCATTGCTTGAGGTAAATATTTCTCCTAATAATGAATTGAACATGAGTAAAATCTATACAACCATGTCAGCTAGGTTATTTTTCAAAGTGGACAGCCGTGCTTTGTTCACTAGCAAGTCCATTCATGATGCTCTAATGGATGTTCTTTCACCCAAACACTCAAACCATGCTTTGTACATCTTTGCGGAGCATCTATTGTTACTAAATTAGCCTACATTAAATTACAAAGAAAAATTTGTACAAGCACAAGCAATAATGTGAAGAGTGGCGTACAAATTCAGTGAACAGATTTGATTAGGAAGGATGCAAATGCTCCTTCATTTAGGCTTGTACTCAGGCATAAATTAGTGTGCAGTAGAGATCACTCTTTAATGACCCATTAATTACATGTGTTTAAATGCGATCAGAGTAGAACACGCTAACAACCAGAACCACTGCACATCAGCAGTGCAGCCTGAAGGAATGCACTCTTTATGAAGCCAATTCTGATGACTTATCCAGCTTGCAGTGATAAACAGTCAGTTTCAGCCTACCTGAAGGCAAATTGAACAGCAAAGGTGTTGAAATAAAAATAAATGTTGGAATTTGTCTCACTGGTTGCGATGCCAGCCAAGCATAGACATGCAACGTTCTGACAACAGCAATGGCAAACCAGTCAATGCTATTCAGGCTCTTCTCCAGAAGTTCATCCTTGTTTCCTCCTCCTTTGGCACTTCAGATTGTGAGGGTGGGATGTGATTGAGAGGAAAAGAGAGAGAGAAAAAACACCCTTGGTTGCTTAAGTGTGAATATTCCCCGGGGTGAAAACCTTTGCCATCGCTGTGTAAACACATGCTCTTTGAATTCATCTCTCTTCTGCTGCAATCGCCCGCTGTCCCCGAATTTCTCATTATGGCAAAGCTGTCATGCATGTTATTTCACAGAAAATACAATTTGGGAAAGACGCTCTCCTTCCAGTTCCATCTGTCCAAAGGAAAAGACCGAGGCCGATGAGGATAACGGAGAGCAAAGTGGAAGTGACAGGCCGGTGAGAGAAGTAATAGTCTCTGACATGAGGCATTGAAGACCCCTCACCTTCACTCCAACACTGCACAACACAGTGAATAGCGGCTTAATCTCAATGCAAACCAACTAATAATGTTCCTTAGTAACTCTTAGCTTATTTTAGCACTATCTCTTAAAATAGTTATGAAATAACTCTCCATAAAAAAAAAAAAAAAAACATTTGAGAGTTTAAAGACATTAAAAAATCTGTGATTTCAGAAAGCAACTTGATACAGTTTAAAATGAGATGGTGTTTTTGCTCTTCAATATGCCCTTCATAGTGTCAACAGCTTCTGAAAAGCTTCTCAATTATTTCATTCTGTGGAACGCAGTGCCGCAAAAGGTCACAGGGACTTACAAGAGAGATAACAAAATTAATTAAAGGCAGCTGGGCTTTTTGAGCAATGGACGGAGGTGTGGATGATAGCAGCCACACAACAGCCAAATCCCCTGGCCATTTCTCTCTTTGTTGAAAGGAAAGGGAGAAGGTCTGTGCATTCCATAATGAAAAAGAGAAACATGCCAATCAGATGAAAATTGACGCAGCCCTGCTTTAATGAAATGAATAATTTGCCAAAAATACTCAGCGTTGTTTAATGCCACCAAATGTCTAAGGAGACCCAGAAGGGACGTGATGGTGAGGAAAAAAATGTATGGAAAAAAAAAAAAAAAAAAAAACAAGTGATAGGAAAATATATTTTTTAAGCTTTTGCATCTTTACAAATATGTTTTAATCATCCTATACATAGGTATTCTTCCCATAGTTCTCATATATTTTTAATGTCTGTATTTTGCACTGTCATTTTATTTGCACTGTCTGTATTTTGCACTATCATTTTATTTGTATTGTCTGTATTTTGTGCTGTCTGGGGCAAGCACCTAAGCTTTTCACTCATCATAGCACACGTGCTGCTGATGATGTGACAATAAAAGTGATTTGATTTGATTTGATTATCTTGAAAGTAAATTGAAATTAATATAAAAATGTCTGCATTCACTTTATTTTTCATAACCCTCTTAAAGTCAAATGCCATTTTGGGGTTTCCGCTTGGATTTTGCCAACCTGAATTCAAACGCTTACCAAATCCACATGCAGAGGTGTAATTGCAAATGTTTGGTATCATTTTAAAGAAAACTCTTTAAAGTTTGATAAAACACTGTTGAATGTTATTTAAATAATTGTATATGTTGTTGTGTTATCAATCCCTCAAAAAAAAAGGCGCTTTTTTGTAAACTCAAATTTGA